ATATAAACTGCATTCAGATAACCTTGAATCAGCTGTGTTCCATGAATGCTGCAAGTTGTTTGGCATACGAAAGACCAGAACAACGCCACTTCACCCACAGTCTGATGGGATGGCAGAAAAGTACAACTGGACACTGGGACAGTAATTGGCAAAGTTTTGTAATAGCTGCCAAGATGACTGGGATGTCTTACTTCCTCCACAGTTGATGGCCTATAGGACAGCAGAGCATGAAGCCACTGGATACACTCCAGCAAAGTTGATGTTTGGTCGGGAACTTCGGTTGCTAGTGGATCTGTTAACAGGACAGCCATCTTATGAAGAGTTATGTGTCAGAATTCATGAAAGTGTTATCGGAAAGGATGGATAATATTCACCATCAAGTGCATTCAAACTTGAAAACGTCTGCTGATTCAAGGAAGTTATCTTATGATAAGAAATCTACTGAAGTCAGGAGACAAGGTATGGTTATATAATCCCAGAAAGACCAAAGGGAAGTCTCCTAAGTTGCCAGCTCTATGGGAAGGCCCATATGACTTAGTGGATCGTTTCTCAGACATGACTTTCCGAATAAAATGTGGTCGGTGAGGTAAGCCAAGGTGGTACATGCCAACAGGCTTTGGCGTTATCACGGTCTCAGTTGGAACAAATTGAACAATGGAACAAAAGACACCTCTGAAGACGTGTTACCTGGAAAGGCCACTGTCGAAGAAGAAACTCTACTCGGTTTAGTGAAGGGAAACAGTGAAGCCCTTGATGAAGTTACTACTACTGATGTGACTATTACTGATAATAGGACATATCCTGATGGAGCAGATGAACCCCACGTGAAGCAGAAGCCAACGAGACAGAGACCAGTACGAAAGAAGATACGTCTCGTAAAATTAAGAGACTTTGTTGAATTTTAGTTTTGTGTTTGTAAATTCTGTACATTTAATTAAGTTATTGTTAATTATTTATTGGTTTAATATAAGTGGCTATTGATCGAGACGAACAATACTAAGGAAGGGGCAGTGGTACGACAGCGGGGGTCATGTGATGCTGGTAACACGTGATGAGTTTCTAGAAGATTCATGAAGAGACATTACAATATGTTACCCTACTGTTGGTGAAGGGTTAGAATCTAATTAACATTACATCATAGGCTGGCACAATTTACTTTGATATGTGTAGGGAGAGAAATTCATTACAGATTTATGGTGTGTAGTGGCATGAGGTAATTGCTTTTTGTTGTGCTGAGAGGTGAGTAAACATCTCTGAATTGAACAATTTATGATTTATTTTTGAAACAGTTATAAATGTTTGTATAAAAATTTAGGTAGAAGAATATAAATTAATTATTTTTGAGGGATTAACATGTTTCACTAATCATAAACTACAAGTTAGTTTTGAGACAAAACTTTGATCTGCTACAGAAAGTCTTTATGAGATGAGATTTGAGCAATGACTTTTTGCTAACAGATCTAAAAATCATTTATAAATATACTTAGAAAAAGGTGCAAATCAACCACTGAACCTAAGTTAACCTTCTAGATAATCTTTTCTGGTGAATTTTTTATAGTTTTGTGGGAAGTAAAAAGTAAGCCTGAATCATGGCCATTCCTCTGTCCAGTTGATGAGGCTGATGCTCCAGGATACTATAGTATTGTACAGGTAATAAAAACTGTTTCATGTTCACTTAGGACTTTTTTTTAGCTATTTATTTTAAATATTCTTATTACTATAGTAGAAGAGAAACAGCTATGTATATGATGAATTCAAGAAAGTTTCAGCATTGTAATTGTACATAAGGAACGTGACTTATTGCAAGTTTTTTAAATTTATTATTATAATGATCACTGTGTTTCAGGGATAATCTAATAATTACCACTAAAACTAAGACAAAAAAACTAATATTAAATCAAATGTTTATAGCAGAAAATTGGCTAGAGAAGAAACTTTCCAATTATATTAGGCATTTGACTAAACAAACTGAAAGTAAACTTAATCATATGCTAATAAGGTTAATGTTAACATTGATGAGGAGCTGACTTTTAAAAGATCTTGCACTCATGAACATCACAGAGTTATGTGTAGAATTTCGTCCTCATAAATTAAGTGTCTAGCTGTCATTTTTATAAGGCCTTAATGGTAATCTTAGATCATTTTACAACTTTAACTCTTAGTTATTGGAACTTCATATAATTAGTATTTCAGATTCATTTTTGCTGCTGCTGAATATTTATATTCTTTAAAGATATTTTAGGCAGAGTCTTTTACAGATACAATCAAAATCCTGTTTTTATACATATCTAATTTGAAATCTATAATAAGCTGACTAAGGGGAATATACTGTAATAAAAAACTCTAACTACTACAATTATCCAAATTTAGTGTTTTACTTAGACTTAAGTTTGAGAACTTAAAATGAAAATGTTGTATGCAACATTTTTCCAGGATTCCTATGACATCTAGCAATAATAAAATTACACTTATAAAAACTTGTATAAAAAGTAATTGTTAAACAGAATCAGTTAAATCTGCAGAGAGAAACCTTGACAGATTTATAATCCTTTGTTTCTAAAAAACAGTCCAAGCAAGCTGATGACTCTCATTTGTGTTAGGTATATTATTCAGATCCAAGCAAGCTGATGACCCTCATTTGTGTTAGGTATATTGTTCAGATCCAAGCAAGCTGATGACCCTCATTTGTGTTAGGTATATTGTTCAGATCCAAGCAAGCTGATGACCCTCATTTGTGTTAGGTAAATCTGAACAATATACCTAACACAAATGAGGGTCATCAGCTTGCTTGGATCTGAACAATATACCTAACACAAATGAGGGTCATCAGCTTGCTTGGATCTGAACAATATACCTAACACAAATGAGGGTCATCAGCTTGCTTGGATCTGAACAATAGTGATGAAATTTTACAGAGGTGAGACAAGGAGAGCTATATATTACATTAAAAGAACACATGGATGCCAACCCTCACACATTTTTGGAAAAAGAAAAAATATATTGGTTGAGGATGAACATAAAAGATACTCAGCTAAATGTTAGCATATCAACAAGATTACTTCAAAAAGAAAATAATAATTAATATCTAACCTATGTAAAAGCCAGTGTGTGTCGCATAACATCACACTTGATGTCTTGAAATAGGAAGAGTCACTGAAAGCCAAAATGCATTTATCCAGATAGAATGTTTCAATTACTGTCTGTCCATTATGATTTTAGTGACAGGGGTGCAAAAGGGGGAGGGATGTCATGAAACCTTATAAGTGTTGCGAGTGTTGGTATAATAAGCCTAAAGTAAAGATGTAATGTGGATCAACTAGCCCAGAGCCAACTGCTTAAAATTTATCATGAAAGTAAAAATATCCAATCGGTTTTAAACTTTTAATTGGCTCACAAAGGAATTTACCGACATTTGACTGCCTCAACTGCACTTTTCTGCCTCTTTGTTTGGTCAAGCTTGATTTTGCAAAATTTATTTATTTCAGTTAGCTATGAAATGTGAGGTTAGGGTATACTATGAGGTGGGGGTGGTAGTACTTGCTCCATCATTTTTGACAGGCTATACGTTAGTTTTTAATAAAAAGATAACCAGATCAGTCTTTGTAATAGACAGATTGAGATATACCTGGTTTTTAAGAGTTTTATTTTTCATTTTTTTTCCTGTTGTATGATATTGCTATTGTATGTTAAACAAAGAGTTGCAATTTATATTGTAATGTTTTCATAATGATGCTATTAATATGTGAATTAGCCACAGCTGATATTGCTGGGAGAAGTTATCTGAGCTAGAAGAAGTTTTCAATTAAGCTGTGGTTGTTAGTAGAACAGTCTAGCTAGGAAGGAAAGGCCTTAGCAGTAGTTATGTAAATTTTGTTCACTTGTTTAACTTCTCATGTATATGAGAAGCCCAATAATTAATACAGGACAGTTTAGCACCATCATGCTGTCATTTTGCACCCAGGCCCATTTCTATTTGGAATATTAGAATATTTATTAGATAGAAAGCCTGGAGGCACAGGTTGGATAGATTATGTGTACTTATGAATGTGTTTAGATAAACAGGACGAAGTGTACTTTTCTGTTTTACTTCCAAAAGTTTTTTGATAATGAACAATATTCCATAATATTGTTCCATCCACTAAAGATGTTTTCTACCTATACATTAAAGATGGACGACTATACATCATGAAAGCTACTGTAATCAATCCATCTAAATCACAAAAGTTGTTAAACTAGCCAGCATTTTAATCATTATATTCAACAACAATTCAACAACAAATCTTACTTTTAGATTAACGGTACTGACATGAGTACCAATTATCTTTACACTTTTAGAGTAATGATGTTATCATTTCAAGTAAAACATTATAAAACTTCTTACTTCAAAGTTATATGACATTTTTTATTTCTTTGGACAACTATGCTAAATTTCTTCAAAACATGATACACCATTGCTTATAAACTATGACACTACAACACATTAGAATGTCATATATTATATCATTATGTGAAGTACATTACAACTTATATTTTGAAAAATGTAATATAATGCATAATAATTTGTACATGTATATCAAGACACTAAGATTTATGTCTTGTAGAATTTATACAATATATACAGAATGTGAATATATATATATATACTAATACATTACCAGCATTATATGTAAAACTACAAGCACTAATAACTGATTCTGAGTTAAGACAGCTAGGAAATGCTTTTTGTCTCATTTGTTTCTAACTTTTAACTTCAAAAATTTTTAAAACTATTTTATAGCCATAAACAGGGTTACAGAAAAAAACATTGGTTAGTATTATCAAAATTTGTTAAATTAATAGCCATATTTGCCAGTAGGTGTGCAGTATATATACATATAATGGACTTGTATCTATCTGTGGAATATTTGAAGTTCTAGTTGTATTTCAAAACAATACTTGCTCTTTTTTATACTTATTTATCAGTATAATATTTCCATTTTTGGTGTTTACTTATGAAGATTGTTTCTATAGAATTATACTACTATCTAAATTAATACTAAGGCATGATTTTAAACCTAGGATCCCATTGATCTAATGACAATCGAAAGAAAAATTGACTGCAGAGAGTATACAAACAGAGAAGAGTTTCTTAAAGATTTTAAAAAAATGGTGGACAACTGTCAACAATACAATGGGAATAGAAGTGGTAAGAGAAACGTTTTTGTAGTTGTTTAAAACAAGTGTTAATAAATAAGAAATCACACTGTTCTACATGATATCTGATAAAAATTATTTTTATGGTACTTGCATGTCATATTCTCATAAGTTAAGATGTTGATTGAAACATAAAAACAATAATTATCACAAAAGTAATAACAATTAATATCCAACAAAAAGATGCTCAAGTACTCTTGAATTGAAATTTATGTGTGAAATCTTTTCTGTTTTGATAAATATCCACTTGGAAATATTTGGTGTCAAGCAAATGTTTGGGGTACCATATTTTGTAACAGTATATTCTTAGTGTTTGTGCTTTTATATATTGGAAAACAAATTATTGTTTCAAGAAAAACTTATCTATTTTTCCATCTTTCTTCACTGTCTGTACATTTTCAAGTTCATTGAATAAAGCCCAATTAGGCTTATATGCAGAGATGAAGGTTTTCTGTGTAGATTTTGAACTTAGTTAGAGTTTCTTTTATATATGGTTCTTGTTTATTGACAGCTTTGTTAAGAATTTGGAAATGTTCCATTTGAATAGCTGAATTAAATTGTTCTTGTAAATAACAGTAGATAAGAGATATGTTGCTCAGCCTTTGTGATATATGTTCCAAATACCACCTTTTATAATTATCAGGTGGTGCTTCCACTATATCAGACTTCCACAAATCTGACAACTAGGTAAACAGATAATGAATGGAGAATTCATTTTGGATTTTGAATTTGACTTTGAATGTGAAAAAACTTTTAAATCTTAAATGATTTTAAAACACTTTATGGTGATAATTCGGGATAATTTATGGTGATAATTTAGGATGATTTATAGTGATAATTCTCAAGATATCACAGGCCTCCTAGTTTGTTAATTTCCGGTATAAATTCTTTCCGAGGAACTTCAGTGATACAAGTCCCTTCTTGAT